AAAACTATATATATATATATATATCATGGTTTTTTCTTTTCAGTTATTGCACCTCTTTACAAATACACAGTTTTGAAGAAAACTGTAAAAATCATGCCCTGAATTTCCCTTGAGGTATTACTACTTTAAGTTTTTGTTGTTTTATTTACAATTTGGATTTTCCAGTAACATATCTTAATTTAAAAAGAGTGGTCTCAATAATAATGTTATTAGGTCTTTAATGTTCTTCAAACTTATACTCGAAAGTCTCAAAGTGATTTTTTTTTCTTAGTTACGGCAGATAAAACTACTGAAGTCCAAGCCCTCTAGCGTCTAATACTATTGCCACTAACTTGATTTGGTTGTAGTTGTACAAAGAAAAACCACCAATGGTAGGAAGATATGTATATTAGTGCTTTCCGACTTATAAATGTAAACTAATAAACTATTCTGATAACATCAACGCCAACATGTGAAAAAGTACTTATACGTGGTGTAGGTTTTACATGCATGTCAGCCATACAATGAAACAGCTAACAAAGAAATGACCTACAAACTGATATATTTTCAATTTTTATTGTTTGTTTGTTTGAATTTAAGCACAAAACTACACAATGGACTATCTGTGCTCTGCACACCACGGGTATCGAAACCCCGTTTCTAGCGTTGTAAGTCCTCGTGTAGCTTTGCGCGAAATTCAAAAACAAACAAACAAACTAGCTTGAGGGGCTTCTGTTTCACATACCCTCTTGCATACAACGTCTTCTGAAGCATAGAGTTCTGTTGCAATTTGTTTCATTTTTACATGCCTATTATGCTGCTTTTCACTCCTGGGAGCCATAACTGGATTCACAAAGTATGACTGTCTATACGTCTATAAGCATTTTCTGGTTGGTTGGATGACAACCACATTGTAAATTATCCGCGCGTTACTGTAGGCTGGTGCAGTTCATTTTCACAGAATGAAACGGTGCCAATTCCCTAGTATCTGCCTTTTATTACCTTTTTTTTTTCCTCTCACGGTTTCCATAACTATTTCTAATATTGGTTAACTTTATTTTTAAATTATAGGCGGTATTATTAGTGTTTATTAAAATTTCCAAAATATCATCAACAGTAATAATACTATCAACATTTTATTACGTCCTTCCCACCAACTCCTTATTACGTTTCAATAAAAACTTTACACAAACTCCATTATTTATCTAGTTAGCTATGTTCGTACAGAAACAGAAGGTAGTATTATATTACGTTCATCTCCCAAGATAATTTAATAACATTGCCATGAAGTCTCTACCACCATTTTATATCTCACCATGATATCGATATATAGTATTATAGCTGTGACACTATATATATATATATATATATATCATTTTTACTACGAGAATCTAAATGTGATTTCTGTTTAACGTCAAAAAAAATATATTTTTTTCTTTCTTTTTTATAGTCTTTCAGCATGTTTACACACTGTAGCTACGCATTTAAAAACACCAGATATACTGAAATACAATTTCCATAATGGTTAACTTTGTAGTTATGTCTACTCCATCCAACCAACAAAAAAAGATCTATATACATAGTTTCGGCACACAGTACAAGTACGATTTCTTTGTTTTCCGCTACAAAACTGATACGGTATGCTGCCACAGATTACAGTTGTATTTGAGACGCTAAGTCACTTTAATCCGCTGTCATTTAACGACTTGTGTCACTGATTCTTCAATGAAATATTAATATGCATAGATTAATTGTGTTGAAGCAGTGTTAGAAACACAGGCACTTCTTAAGAATTCTTCAAAACATACACTTCATGCACCTCTTAAAAAACATAGTTACTGTAATGCTATACTTCAGATATAAGCTATTGTATTTAAATGGGTTAGTTAAGAATAAGTCTGGATGACAAAAACCTTAAGGCCTAACAAATTAGAATACGGAACAAATTTAATTACGTGTTTCTAAAGCAATTCGTGCGTAATATAAACTTTGCTTAATTCAAGACGGCACTTAAAAAACGTAATTTTCAAAAACGTTTAATTAATGTAGAAACTAGGTAAAAAAGAAATAATAAATTGTCTATGCTTTCATCAAACCGTATTGCAAACGGAATTTTTTGGTTTCTTTTATTGAAAGGTATTTAAAAGACAATCAAATGAAACTTTGACTTTCTGAAGCAGCAGTAATGTTTTCGAGCACAAAACTACAAGGTAAAAAAGGCCATCTGCCTAAAATATTAAATTTACCAAGATTAAGAAATATAATTATTTTCTTATATCGTTTGTTTGTTGTTGTTGTTAAGCACAAAGCTACACAATGAGCTATCTGTGCTGCGTCCACCACGGGTATCGAACTAAGGACAAATCTCCTCTATTTCATAACACGAATTTTTTAAATCAACGTTTGTTTAATCCACCATACTTACCTCCGTGCTCCTCAGTGGCATAGCGGAATGTCTGCGTACTTACAACGCTCGAAACCGGGTTTACCATCATCCTTACAGTGCATCCACAGCCCCAAAGTGCGGAGCACGTTTTTGCGACAATGGAACATGAATAACAAACCCCCCGATTAATAGTCTATGCACGCTAAGCACTAGGTCACACTCGACCCACGAAATTTAGTTTGGTATCAAGCACAAAGCTATACAATGGGCTAAATGTGCTTTGCGAACTAAGGGTTATGAAACCCGGTTTTTAACACTATAAGCCTTCAGACTTACCACTAAGAGGGGGCGGGGGCATAAATTGTAGTAAAATAATCAACTTATTTTCTTCCCAGAAAAATTTATTTGGACATTAATCAGAAATTACATTTACGATCCCCTAGTAGAAATGTATTGGTACATATCATATAAAATTAATAAAACTATTATACATTCAAATATCGCTCACATAAATTAAGCACTTTTTGTGTCAGATTCATTACCATATGTAATAAGCATTTTGGAATAGCGCCGTCAAATATTTCACAAAATATTTGTTTTCTCGCGTACAACAGGCCAATATTAACAATAGCCAAAACAATCTCATTTCAACGTCTGATAAGATCAAATCAACGATAGGGCTTTAAAACAAAAATCATTAACGCAGATACAAGTTTACTGTTTGGCAAACAAACCTCTGTATTTCATAATAAATAAAATATCGGATGATTTATTTTCTTTCTCCCACATCTTGTCACTCTCACGATTTCAAGGTACTCTGGAACTGAATGGCTATCTTGTCAACTCAGTCAAAACGGAAGTTTAAGACTTCCCGCGACAGCAATTTCATGGGAAAGTTCTGTGTACTTAAGGAAATATGGAAACGAATAACGTTTTTATGTAGAACTGTATTATATTTTATGTACATAGAGTGGCCATAAGTAAATAGACATCACATTTTCAGAAAACATG